AATCTCGCAGCTGAATCGCGCGACGTGAATCTTAAATTAAAAAAGACAAATGGAGGTGATCGATTTCAAGAGCGAAAGCAGCAAAGTAAGAAAAGGAGAAAAGAGAGCTGCGCGAGGATTGTCTCGAAAGCTATCCAGCCGCCGGATCGATACTTGACAGGTCGTTTTTATCGCGGCGACTTCTCGAACGACGAACGAAAGAAGAGCCGGGCGGAGGATATAATCGGCCGAGCTGCGCGCGAGTTAAACGGATTTTATCGGGCGCGCCATTTGCCGCGGTCGAGTCTTAAATTAAACTCGCTCTGTACTCCGCGATGCATCAACGGTACAAACGAGCCGCGATTATCGCCGATCGACCGGATTACCGTATTTGATGGGGCAAAAGGAGGAAGGTAATCGGACGGAATGCTTTCGGCGCGCGAGATCACCCGGGGGGAATCAAAATGCCAGGGAAATAATAATGAACGTCAGGGCGGTGAAACGGCTATCTTCCTCTCCCCAGTAATGAACACGACGTTAGCTTGTAATCACGTTTCAATTAATTCGTGAATGTTTTCTTTATTAGCGAGCATTGATCTTCCGCGAAAAACGAGGGATTTGAAACTTCAATGCTGAACTATTCTCACGAAATACGGAGAATTTCTAACTTGTTTAAAATTTCTGAATTTATTGGAAACAGTTTGCGACTCGCTTGGAAGATTTGAGAAAAGTTCGTTTGAATATTTTTTAATTTTCTAACTCGAAATTCGATTAATGTTAAAAGCTTTGCTTTATGCAGTTTAGAAGAAATTTCAAAGATTTAATTCTTTGAAATTAATAGAATCGACGTGTCAACTGAGTTACTTAATAGAAAGTAACGGCACTGTGATTAAAAATTTCGAAAGTAAAATTCACAATTGGATCAAACCGAGTCACGTTAAAATTTCGTAATTCGAAACTTGCTGTTAGAGATCTATCTGACAATTTGATTTATAATTTAAATTATAATTTAATATATATAATTATATATATATATATAATATATAATAATTTATAATTTATAATTTAAAATATAATTATAATTTAAATTTATAATTTAAAAATCGTTTGAAAGATTTAATTCTTCGAAATTAATAGAACGGAGGTATCAACTAAATTATTTAATAAAGAGTAACAGCACAGTATACTGAAGTTTCAATCGTAGGAAGGGAAACTTAAAAATTTCGAAAGTAAAATTGGATCAAACCGGGCCAGAATTTATAATTCGATACCTGCTGTTAGAGGTGTATTGTTATTTAAAGTAATAGTCGTCTTTGATTCCTAATTTCCAGTGAAACTTCACTTTTAATAACAAGCGAGCGAATTATGGACGCTCGTTTGAACTGCTTGTCGCTTGGCTCTATACGCCGCTTTTAATAAAAATTCGGCGAGTCACAAACTCCGCAGGTGGATATTGCTATTCTTTAACGAAGGAAGTTTTAAATGAGTCGAACGTCGAATCGACTTCAAAGGTCCGTATACTTTGGCGAGTTCAAACGTTACGAAGTTCCAAGTTCTAATTCGCGCAGAGTTCGTTAGTTTGCCAAGTTCTGGGCGAGTCCTTTAACGGATCCTAACTTGTTCACTTTGACGTACCAATTTGTTGTAATCGCAACGCTAACCACCGTGTCTAGACCAACGTTTCCGTTTCCCATCCAAGATCTTCTTTCTACAATGTCCTAAAATTGTCTTTTCCTCTCGAAATTATGTCTATATCATGTTGGAAGGAGGATGGAAATACACGTAGCGTGTAAAACAATCTCAACAGCAAATAAGATCAAGTATTTAAATTTTAAATGTGAAATACGATATACTAGGATTAATTAAGTTTCGAGAACTATATCCAACACGTTCAGGAATGTGTCTTCTGTTCATGAAATATGTATGAACAGATTTGTGCAAGTTGGTAACGCGCGATAATCTTCTTTCGTTAACATCAGTAACAATCATTTACTCTGAGATAATATTTCACAGTTATCAAATGAGAACTTTCGTCAGACTCGAGGAGAGCTTGCTCCAGAATAAGAAACGACCGGGAAAACAATTTCCTATCGGAATAATTGCGAATGAGCAAAATAAAAGAGACAAATGGCAAATTTGTCTGAAAACAATCCCAATAAAATACTCTTATTTCCTCATTTCTAACATCTATCTTTTCACTGAGAATTTACGAGATGGTATTTATTTAAAAAATGAAATGAAATACCACAGTTTCTCGAAATTGTACCATTTCCATTTTTAGAATAAGAACGGAACGCGAGGTTGCTTCGACATTCGTAACATGGAACCGCACGTGCATCCTACGTGGAACGCATCACGGTCACAGGTTGCACGCTCCAGGGAGGGTTTTCGCGCCAGCAAAGGGTTTCGAGGAGTTTTCTTTCGGGTCACATCTCGCCTTCGAGTGGCTCGCCGTCGTGAATATCAGCGGAGCTTAACGATCGCGCGCGAACCTCGTTCTTTTGTCGCTTAAGAGAACGTACTTCCGGCGAGTGGCTGCCGGTGGCGACGGCTGCGAGCGAAGAGAAAACTGTCAGAAGCCCTGGCCTCTTCGCGATCGGATGGTTAATTAATCGAGCCAACGGTGATCGCCTAGTTATGGCGCTGATTCCCTCTGAAGGGGGTTAATGGAGAAGATTCTTTCCCTCTCTCGTTACGATGACACTTTCGTGCGTTTGAATCTTCCTCGCTCGTGAAGTATCGTCGCGAAATGTTCGATTTTTATTTTTATATTTCATGTTAAGCGATTCACTCCTTCGTTTGGAAGCTTCTTTCTTTTTACGTCGAGAAGTTTGATTGGATATTTAATGACACCTATGACATTCACTTTTTTCTTTTTGAATAAATTAGAAATTATTATTGGTCAAAGTTTTGTTTGTCTTACAAAGACTTTGGCGAGACAAGAAATTTACATCTTCATTAACTCAAGCCAATATCAAAGTTCGAGAACTGTCAGTGTGTAAAATTGACAAAGATACTTCTAAAAATGTGTTGTTACAAGGATATAATCACCGGGAAGTGGTTTTCAGAAACTCTGACGTATATTATCATGAATCTGTAATATTTAAATACGACTATTGCACTTTCCCGGTCCATCATTCTTCATCTTTCGCGACAAATGCTTGTCCGTTATCGATGAATTTCCATCGAACGAGCCACTCGATTCCCTAATACGTCCAGTGTCCCTTCGAGAAAACTCGAACAATACTTCACCGTGAACAGCACGCTGTGCTCTGAAATCGCACGGACTCGATGCTCTACGATTTATCGTAGCATCGAAATCGTCGTTGGAATACCGATGAGCTTGCGGACGTCCCTGCACACCGAAGGGATCCGCACCAACAGAATTCTCGAAAATCCTCGTCTAACCATCCCGTCCATACAAATACGTTCTTTGACCTGGCTCCCTCCCCGAGTTTAAAACCAGTTACTCGCATTAAAAACGTTTCATAAATTCTCTATAAATCTCTCGTTGTTCAGTCTCCGAGGTTCTTTCGTAAATTTATTTAATAAAATTAAAATTTATTTAATAGAATATTATGTAATTTTATTCAAATAAAATTGAAGGAATTTAATCGAAATTTACGTATCTAACTCTGTTACTTGTCGCGTCTGAAAAAAAAATTAGTAGTTCCTCGTTCGTTCAGAACATACTGACACTTGATTCGAGTAATTAACGCTTGACTTCGTCGCTTTTCGCAAGAGGCGATACTGTTCTGCATTTTCACTTCGACGCGCAAGATCGATCATTTCAAATTCGTTGAGCTAACTCGACGGTTAATAAAACCGAGCGTCCACTTTCAGAATCAATCAGCGTTGATAAGAGCCGCAGACGTGGCGAGAATTAACGCGACCAAGAATTATAGTGAAATTAAATGAAGATTGATTCTCGTTTGATCGCGATTCTTTTAACGTCGTAATTCTGGTGGTTCGGTGAGATTTGTTCGAATGAAGTGAGAAAGTATTCGCGTGAAGATATTTATTATACTTGCCAAAGTTTCTATGAAAAATATAAATGTTCATTTTTATCGTAATTTAATTATTATTTTGTATTAAGCATTAGATAGCAATAAAGCTTAATTAAGAACCAACTATTCAGGATTAGATGTATTATGATCGCATTGTACAATGCGTCTGATCAATGACGAATCATTCTACTTGGAACTACTTTCGTATATAGTAGAATTACTCTATATTTATTCCTCGTAGAGTCTTTATTGAATTTTTTTAAATATTGATTAAGTATAATCTATTCTATTTGAACACTGGCCAAGTCTGATCACGTACGATTCTTTTCTACTAACAAAGAAACCTCTGCACAGTCGACTTTGAACATTTGAACTTGAGCTTGAACTTGAACTCGAATTTGAACTTTAAAGAGAGAATATCTCCTCAAATGCTAATTTTACGTTCGATTATACACTCGTGATTGAAATCGCTATCGTCAAACACCTCACTGTAGCGACATAAGAATCCATTGAAATAGCAAGCGAGAGAAAAAAACTGCGAGGCTTTGGCCACGATTGTTAGGGACGATAACAATATTGAATATTTAATTTCATGGTAATCGCATCTTCAAAAGTGCTCTAGGTGTTTCAAAGCGATGGGGAGAAAGGATCTCTTGAATCGTAAGAAGTTTCCATTAATTGTCACAAGAGTAGGTGCGAAAAGAATGCTTCATTCCCCCGTTTCGAATTCCGTTAGTCAAAGAATCGCGTTTGAACCGTGGAATTAAACAAAAGTCTCTCGCTTTGCATCTGAAGGATCGCGAACTTCAGCCGAGGCCGGCAACAATGCGACAAAGCAGTATTGCAGTTCATAGAGAATGAAATAAATTGAAACGAATTTTAGCATATCGCGTAATAACAATTTACGAACGACGAAGTTTCAAACTGCGCTGCTATCGAAAATTTGATAATCTCTCTTTCGATCACTTTCAGCGGGAAATTAATCGTTCGAATCGTTTGATCGTCTTGTTTCAGCAACAACAGCAGCAAGCGCAACAGCAAGCTCAGCAACAGCAGCAACAGCAGCCGCAACAACAGCATCAGCAGCAACAGCCGCAGGCTAATTCGCCAGGGGGCGGCACAATGGGGAAAAGTAGCCCATCGCCGGGGAATTCGGCGTCCCCTGGCACCGTGACGGCGTCCAACAAGTCGCAGACCGAGCCAAAACCGGTCGAGTGCAATTTGTGCCATCGGAAATTCAAAAATATACCGGCACTCAATGGCCACATGAGACTCCACGGCGGTTACTTCAAGAAGGTAAGCCAGTTACGCTTTTCGAGTAGTTTCTCTCCGTGTGTGGCAAGAATATTTCGAAGGGAAGGAAATTCTTGTATTCTCACACGATCGACATGTTATTAGAAATTATTGTCATTAAAATTTTCTTGACTTTTTATTCTTTATTCGTTCGTTCGTATTTGGTTTATTCGCTCAAGTCGTCGATTCTTTGTTATTTTATTATGTTATTTTATTGTGTCATTATTATTTTATTTTATTTTTGGTAACTCACAATTAAACGCAAGAGCAAGTTCAGAATTGATATATAGATTCACGTAACTTGAATTGTCTGTCTAACGAAAAATTGTTTTCAATGTGGTTTACTTGGAATTTAATATTCTTCTTTCGATTTATGATGTAAAAAATAAAGATGAACTTGGAAATGTCGAGACTCCTCAACACAAAAAATTGATAGACGCGATTATTTGCCTCCCTTAAAACCATACATTTGTAACTTTTTTGTTAAACAATTTTAGACACAATTTAAAAGTTATTTCAAGTGTGTCATGCGAATCATCCTGTATAATAGCTAGAGATAATCTTACGATATTAATAATTGAGTTATTCCCATGAGCTTTTAATTATTAGATTTTTATATAAACTCGTATCTTTATAAATACGAAACGATTTATAACGAATATCATACTTCAGTAACTATTTTATCTGTTAAGTGCATACTTAATGCACACTTTTCAACATATATTAAAAAAATGCGTGCACAGATTAATAAATAAAAAAATACATCGGTCTCTCGTAGCAATAGTTAATGCTACAAAAATTTATGAACTTATCTGGCTTATGATACTCGCTCGCGAAAGTTGCAAGAATCATTCGCTCGCGGTAAAGAAAGAAAAAAATTCGCGATATTTCGTCGCGCGAAGCAAGAACGACCGCGCGAGAGATAAAGTCATTGTGAGAGGAGAGATAGTCGTTAATTCTAGTCTCGCGTTTGTTCCGCTTGCTTCATCAATTCTCCTCGAGACGGTCTCGAGATGAAAATTATACGGAATCCGGCAGCTTTGCTTACCTCTTCCGCGAACCGCGTTTCATCCCGCGGGGGCTGAATTGAATTTTCAAGAAGAATTTCATGAAGTTTACCAAAGGCCACGGCAACCGGCAAGGTTCAAGCGACATTACCATATGAATTCGCAATCCCAGAAACTCGCACGGAGAGCTTCGTGTAATCAGTTGGTGATTTCATGAAAATCTCGCCGACCGAAACGCAATCAACCGGCGATTTCATGGAAATCCCTACTGGTTACGTTTCCACGGCTTTGGCCATTTCTTCGCGATACCTGAGACAACGATCAGGAAAGAAAAGGTTGAAGCTCTTTCGATGAAACGTAGAGTCTTCCTGTCGAATATTGATTAATTCATTAATGATAATGTAAATACTCGTCTAAATTTCATAAAATAATAAAGTCTAATGAAAGACATATCGATGGCAAAGTATTATTTCAAGCAAGTTCTTGGAATTTTGTTTATGTAGCCTCAATATTTGAAAGGAGAATTTGATATTAACTAAAAACTGATTAACAAGAATTGTTATTTTCAATAGAATTTGAAGTATTATTTGACAATTAATTGTGATTTCTTCAAACAGTTTCTATTAATTTTGCCAGTTGTATTAAGACTCCATAGACTTCTAGAGAAGTGTATTTTTACTATTTATTCATCATTTGAATCCAGTAATTTAAAGTAATGGAACATGTTGGATTTGAAGTAAAAGAACGTATATAAGTTAAATAAATTTATTCATCTGTACATCTGCTATTCTTTTCATATTTTCCAAGTACAACCTAGTATTTGTAATAGGCTTGAAATGTTTACAAAAAATTATTATAGCGATCGATATAGTAATTAATATTTAAATACTATCTTTAAATTTTACGCAGCACGAATGAATTTCAGAAATTTTAATTAAATATTAAATAATTGAAATAATATATCAAATTATTTATCAAATGACACATTATGCTTAAAAATTATTCATCAAAGAACGAAATTAAAACTTACGCGTGAAAATATTTTACACTTAAATGGTAAACGAACTGCTTTCGGTGTGTTTCGTTTTTTTTAATCCGTTGCCGTGTGAATTTCACGATATTATCGTTCCATCGAGAACGAGGCGAGCGTTTTCACGTTGAATCTCGCCTCTATCTGGATGGCAAGGAAAAACTTCAGAGGAATCTCTTTCAGCGTATCTCTATAAACGACACGCCGTTCGTTAAGACATTTTTAATCAGCGAGAAAAGAGGCGACCGGGACTGAATCAGAGAAGTGGAAGAGAGAAGGTGGGAGAATCGCTGATCTTTCTATTCCGACGACTGCAACAGCCTGCCTCTTCCTTGACCTTATTAAGAGTTTTCTCTGTTCCGGATTCTCTGCTCCGGCGCGGCGAGAAGAAAGAGAGAGAAAAGAGAAAGAAAAGTATGAAATCGAGCAAACCTCTCGAGGAGAGATTCTATCCTCGATATCTTCTCCTCTTCCTCCGCGACGATTATCGCTCGCAGGCGCACGAAACGAAAAAAAAAAAAAGAAGGAAAGACAATCTCGTACGATGTAAATACGTGATTTTCTTGGAGGATTTTGTGGAAAAATTGATAAATTCAGGAGAGTAAATCTTTTAAAACTGACCGATAAATTAAGACGGAGTATGCAAAAATTGCCACTTACTGTTGGTTCTTGTTTTTCGAAAATTCTTTTAACTTGCACAAACATTCGATATTCCAAGAACGAAAGTCACTGACTATCAACAGACGATTCAAACAAAAAAAAAAAGAAAATTCACAGAACCTTGCTTCTCCCGAAGGTTCTTCCAACTATGGCTGTAATCAATTTACAAACAATCGCCAATCTACGTCACCTGTCCAACACCCGTGTCCAAGAACATCTCCAGGCAATGCTCGCGTGGCAACCCCATTAACGGAGGACAAAGTGCACGCGAACAAATGTATTCGAATACACTCGCGCCTCTGTTCCTCTGCCGTGAACCATGAACGTTCACCCCGTGTCCCTGAACGTGCTACGGTGCACATCCTCTGGCGCTTGATCGTGAACACCACGAGCGCCACGACGAACATAAAGGCCATCCCGTTGGTCTGGTCGCCAACATGAATATGAATGTATGTATGTACACACAGATCAAAATGAATGGATCCGGACGTTGGTGCATGAACGGAAGGCTGGACGCGAAGCCTCGGATACGCTGCGATGCTCGTGCGATTCGATGTACACACACACACACACACACATACACGTATGCACGTTATAAATACACGTGCACACAGAGGGAGAGTGGCGAGAGTGGCGAGTTGAAAACTCCGGGCGCAGCTTGAAACGAGAGCACAGAGTCCCGTTGAAAACGGTAACCGGTTCAGATTCAATCTACATAATGGAGAAAGCTTGAGACAATGTTTGCACAGCCCTCTCCGAACGTGGCCGACTCCCAATCTTTCCGTCTCCAGCAGCCACCGTCCAACCAAAGAGCTTGTTAATGGATTCATTTGGACTCGATCATCACCTTATCTCCTCTCTCGTCTCTCGATTCCACTCTCGCTCCACTGCGTTTCTCGCACGCAGTCCTCCCTCGTTTCCTAACTTTCCACGGATTCTCTTTTTTTCTTTCTTTTTTTTTCTTTTCTTAGATTTTTATTGCCGGAGTAGCAGGTGTAAGTGTTCTCTAGTGGAAGAGAAGGTAGGGGAAAGAAATATTATCGAAGACAGACGTGTGAATTTTTTTTTTTTTTTTTTTGGTAAATTCTGCGCACATATGATTTACTTGGTAATTGTAATTCAATTGCAATGATAAATCAGTTGGAAAATCATTTACGTGGAACGAGTGAATAATTTTGAGAAATACTTGATACGAAAATTCTTAAATCTCTTCGGTTATTCTACCGTTCACCGAAGATGAAAACTCAGGGAACGTCTGTTCGCGGATTATTAAACGAAGGGGAATATACAAGATCCAATAACTAACTTTCCTCCAGTTTCTCGCTAGTTTGTCCCCCCGTAAGACAATCGAGCAAATTCCATTTATTCGAGGATTAACTGTGCAGAAATGCTGCGTCTCCGTGCGCGCAGGCGAACGAGCGAAAAATGTGGTTTTCAACCACGTTGGTTGGAAAACCAGGCCGCCGCGGCACTTTTGTATTACTTAAAAGTCCCCGTGAATCCCTTAATCCCCGTTCGTCGTGCAACGTCCGCTCGACAAAACCGTAAACCGTTCCGGGGTCCGGCGATTTCTACGCGCGGCCGCACGGATGCCAACCTAACCGACATATTCCCAGCGAAACGCGCCAATGAGAAAACATACAACCGCGTCCGTACTTTCCATTGCTCCTCTCCTTTGGGAATGAAGAGGAGAATACTCTAATCCGGCTGTATCCGGATGAAAAACCATCGAGGCTGCTTAATAATTTTATCGATGGTGGTCGTTGTCTTGCTTCGTTCGATTCGATGGAAAGCCGCATCGATCGTGGAATGTGAGAATCCTTCCGGGAGTTTAGCAGCGAAGTTGAATGTACTCTGGTTAAAGGAAGCATTTGGACACCGAAATGAAATACTTGTTGGTGCGCGTTCTAAATGTTTGTTGATGCTTTTTCGAGCAGAATTAATTGATAGATTTTTATTCGCAGAAGAGTCTTCGAGAAGTGAAACAGAACAGAGTGGAATTCTTTGTGACTATTTTTGCTAACATTAATGCAAGGCATAAATTGAAGAATATAAGAATAAAATCTAGGGGGAAACTCTACAGTATCTTAAACAATTAGATAACGTTGTCCAAAACACTAAATATTCCAATTTTCATCGTATAATTGCTAAGTGCTTTTCCGAAAGCATATTTTATATCTTACACGTATTATAATATTAAATCAACTCTGCCATTCTTGTCACATTGTATCTCTTCAGACATCTTTCCTTCTTTATTTCCGTATAAACGTGTGGAGTGTGCAAGGTATTAAAATCGAATATTTAAAAGCTAACTGTATTCTAACAACATTGTATTGTAACATCCATTTCCTAAAAGAGCAACAGAGATTAATACTTCCTATTGTCTCAGTTTCACACTTTTCCAACCTCGTACATAATATATTATATATTATTCCACGAACACACACGTATACTCATTTATATATATATGTATATACACGTGTATATCACCTGCCACGAAATTGAACTCTGTCTTTGACGTGGCGTACCGCGCTCGCTTCATGAATATTGATCGGCTGCCGTTAATGCGCGGAATTGATTGCGGAACGTTCGCTGGCTCCGACTCATCAATTCGATCCGTGTCGATTCCAGCCCCGAACGCGAGTTCTCTTGTGTACCGTAATGTACACACGTCTGACTCTTTTTTTGCACTCCCTTTTTCCCCTCTTTCCTCTCTCTTTTTTCTTTTTTCTTTTTTTCTTTTTTTTTTTTTTTGCTCCTCTTTTTCCCCCGTGTCCCTGCAGTTCGAACAAGGGGTGCTTCGTTGCGTCGATCTGTAAGTGAGTTCGAGGGACTCTCTTTTTTTCCCTCTCTCTCTCTCTCTTTCTCTCTCTCTTTCCTTTTAGTACTCTGTTTCCTTGCTCGCATTTTTTTTGTTCCTCCTTTTTTTTTTATTTATTCACTCTTGCCCGATACAGTTCGTATCCGTCGATTGTTTTTGCTAAATAAAGAACTCGCCAGCCGTGATCATGTCACTTTGGAATTTTTTCAACACGTTCGAACGACGTTCTAGTTTCCTTTCTTTTTCTACGATATTTAGGATTGTAAAATATGAATGCTCGGTGAAAATTAACGCTGAATCCTTAAAAGTGTGAATGAACGGAATTTAATTCCCCGCAAAAAAAAAGCATGAAAAATTCGCGAGAAGAATGAATAACGCGAGGGACGAACGTACGTATAAATATTAATTTCACTTTTTGTTCAATATTTGATTCCTTTTTTTCCCCCTTTTCATTATAAATTGTTAGTTACTATCGAGCGCGCAATGAGGATTATTTTAATATGCGGACAGCGTATTTTCACTGATGTTTAATTAAAAAAGCGGTCGAACGATAAAAGAATTTCAATATGAATAGTATCGGGACGCCAGTTAATGGATTCGATGGGATTTTTGGTTTAATAATGAAAGAACAGTTGCACAGAGATCGAAGCACCGAGGAATTTCACGAATTTTTCTTGAATTACACACTGTTTCAACTGTATCGAATCTGCAGTGGAGGATAGAAAGAAATAAAGAGAAAGGGAAGAAAAGAAAAGAAGGAAAGAAGAAATATCATTATTTTCCGCTCTAACGAAGAGAGAACGAACGATCGTTATCCATCTTTCGTAATCACTTCACCTTTAACTCGGGCTTTAAATTGTCCCCGATTTCCATTAGTAACTGTAACAATTATTCCTAATTTATCTCGTAAACTCTTTCGATTCCCCCGCAGGAAAGTTAAACGTGGCAATTAATTAACAGTGGAAACGGCTGCGTGATATTACGTACGTTGACACGTGAATCTAGAATAAAATAAAATAAAATTAATCCCAAAAGAACGACAACAGGCTCAAAACGGTACGTACTCGGTAACCAAAATTCAACTCTTCAGCTCGAATTACACGTCATAATCGAATTACAGCTGATATAAAAGCATCGCCGTCGTCATCTGTGACAAAATAGTCTCGCAATAACGGGATAACGATAACGAGCACAGTTCCTTTTAATCAAACCGAAACCCATATCCATTAATCACGAGTACACTCGCAACGCTCTGATCACGCCGACGCGCGCGCGCGCGCGCGCGTGTGTGTGTGTATGTGTGTCCCGTGTTTCGTCAACAAATCTTAACTAACCAAACGCATCTCGAAAGCCACACGTCAAACACTCCCCCCACGCGGCCCATAATCCTCGGCCCCCGTCTATCACCGATGCAACCGGTTAATCGGGAACGCATCCCCCGCCGACTGATACTTCGATCGGTTGGCAACCGGGCTCCGCAGATTAGTGGCCCCGATGAAACGAAGGGTTAATTGTGCCAGTCCTTTGGACGCCGAGGCGGCAATTAGCATACGTCCACGTCGGACGTGCATATATCTTCGTCCTGTTTCGCACGAGTCCCCGGCTACCCCTTTCGAGGAACCATACATCACCGTGATACGCACAGCGTCCACGTCGTCATCTTGATGAAACCTTAATGGCCGGGGGCAGGCAACGTACGAATGGACGGGGGATGGGGGAGGGACAAGGACACAGGGTGACCCTGGTAATCGCTGATCGTCATCGTGTTCCTCAATTTCCTATCCGCTACTTCGATATGTGGCACTGCGTTTCTCTCTCGCTTCTCGTGTGTCAAGCGTGTTGTTCTGGTACGATTGACGAGAGAGTTGTTTCACGTGGATAAATATCGGTTGTGTGGCCTAGTTCTCGCGAGAAGAGGGCGATCCTCGCGAGGCATGCTACGAGATCTCTTTCTCTATGAATCGATATTTAGATATTTTTCTTTTATTATTGGTACATGAATATTATTATATACCAATATAATAATAATAATATGTAATATAATCGACTTTGGATATTTTTTTTTTATTATTGGTACATGAACATTGTTATATATACCAATATAATAATAATATATAATATAATCGACTTTGGATATTTTTTTTTATTATTGATACATGAATATTATTATATACCAATATAATAATAATAATAATATATGATATAATCGACTTTGGATATTTTTTTTTATTATTGGTACAGGAATATTATAATAATATTCCTGTACCAATAATATAATCGACTTTGGATATTTTTTTTTTATTATTGGTACATGAATATTATTATATACCAATATAATAATAATAATATATAATATAATCGACTTTGGATATTTTTTTTATTATTGGTACATGTATAATAATAATATATAATATAATTGACTTTGGATATTTTTTTTTTATTATTGGTACAGGAATATTATTATATATACAAATATAATAATACCATAATCGACTTTGGGTATTTTTTTTTATTATTGGTACATGAATATTATATATATTAAATTATCAACGCACGAAAATCATTTTTAGATCAACTTTAATCTAACCGAACTTTAATCTACCAAATTGAATTATTGTACTTGATTAAATTACGCTATTCTAAACACAATCCCTGTTTCTAATTCTACCTCTTCCCACCAGTTCACCATTTGTCTAAAACAGGATTACATACGACGAAGAGACTACGTGGAGGCATAAAAACGTTCTTGAACAAAGGAAAAAGAGCCAATAATACGAACCGCTATTCGCCAGTTACTTCTTTCCCCTCATTTCCTCTTTTCCGTCCAGTCCTTCTTCATCTGTCATCTTTACCTTCCTCCTTCTCTTTTATAATCCTCCATGAAACGTCTGATCTCTTCAATCTCATTCCACGCTCATCCTACCCCCCTCTTCTCTCCTTTCTCCACCGTCCCTTTTTCATGTTACTTTTCCGGTGGATTTCCTCCCTTTCTTGATCCATTCTCTTTCTTTCTCTTTCTCCTGAAAGCGTCGTCTAACATTCTAATCGATTCGTTAGCAACGAGCTCTGTAAAATTAGATCCCGGCTGATTCGCGTACGATGAATTGGGTCAGGTAGAATTTTCACCTTCGATGGAAAAGGTAGATGGTTGAAATTAGTTGGCGGTGAAAAGTAATTGAAAAAGGGGATATCATTTGAGGTTGAATCTTCCTTGAGCCTTTGGCTTAGTTAGACATATTTTAAACTGAAAATGAAAGAGGGAATAGATTCAAAGAAATATCGAGCAGGGATTCTTTTTTATTGTAGATAACATATTGTAAGTATTACTGTGTTATAAATAATCCTATCGGACAGATCGTTTCGTACGAACGAATTTTGATAAAAATTGATATGTAGAAATGGTTGACAATTTAGAAGATATAAATTTGTGGTGACTATAAATTTTATTTCGAACTTAATGACAAGATTATTTTCAATAATTTCAGGATGCTGAGAACAAGAAAAGCGAGAAGAAAGAGGTGGTCGGGCCGCCTTTACAAACCGCGTCTGTCAGCGTGAGGGCGCTTATCGAGGAGAAGATTATACAGAAAAGAACGACTGGTAAGTTGTACTGTGAACTTTTAAATTTCTCTCGAATTACAAACCAATCGATCACGAATGAATCGATGTTCCTCGATAATTTGACCCGGTGTCGTAAAATATGTTTTACGCAACTATACCAATTATTCATGATGTATGGCCAACAACGAATAATTTCCTTGAAATTCAGTATATTTGTGATTTGTGTATTAAATTTCACCGACAATTGATAATGTGATTGTGTAAAAAAATGTCCTGTTTAATTAATGGTCGTACTTTCGAGATAACAACAAGTCTGCCAACAAGTAGAAATTGAAAGGAAGAAGAGAAATTAATAATTCTATCAGACGTTCTATCGAATAATGGCATTAACATCGAACGACACGGAGATTCAAAGAGCCGACGTAGGAATACGATTTCGATGATTTATGTGGCCCCGGAACGTATCTCAACGTTGGGCCACGTCTATCTTTCTTCCTGCCCCGCGTATCACTCGCTTTATCACGGTCTGCCTTCTCCACAGATACATTTCCGCGAACTATAATCATAAGGAGCCGGGGCCCCGAGTTATATTAACTGTCGAGTTACGTTAACTTTCCCTTAGACACATTCACCAGTCTAACGTGACATCTGGTTACAGAGGATCTGTCGCTGAGCTGCTCTGTATACACCCGTGAATGCTTAAAACCGGAACTAGGGCAACTTGCACGAATGTGGAATTCATTCACGTAGCGTAACGATAGCGTAATTACCTGAAATTACGAGGGTACGTTTTAACATGAACGCGATAAAGATTCGAATGATTCGGAGAATCAAGGCAATGATAATTTCATTTATTATACAAAATCATGCAAGACTCAAAGTCTTGGGAGAAGTATTATATTTGTTGACAAAATTGTAGGAAAATGAAGTAATACAAATTTCCAAAGTGTTGATATATCAGCAATTTTGTTATAAAATATATAGCGAAATTAGAAATAATTATTATTATTATAGAAATACATAGCTATAAAAGGTATTCTAAATTAAATATAAATATAAAAATAAATTAAATTAAATTAATAAAATATAAATATAAATTAAATATATAGCTATAAAATATATTCTAGTATTATTATAATAATTATATAGTGGAAATATATAGCTATAAAAGATAGTATATGCATATATGTTGATTACGAAGATTAAATGTAGAACTTGATAAAAACGAAATCGCCAATACTTTTGGTAGTTAGTCTGCAATAAAAAGTTTTATTACCTACGATTAATACTAAATATTATAAATAAAGAATGTTCTGAGACTTTCGCGAGGCACTGTACATACTTATTGTTAGACTTAGAATTAAAGTCAAAGCTACACGAACTTTCGTGGTCCCAAACCCACTTTCGAAAATTATAATTTTTCACAGACCACTCGAAAATTAATTAACAGACGATTCAAAAATTAATTGGACACAGACTCGCGTGCAGAAATCTCGTCTAATTTTCATCTAAATCGATTTTGCATCGTTGCAAAATTTTCATTGCATGAAAGATAAACTCTACGCTTCGGAGAGAAGAAACGATGTAAAGAACAATGCAACAGGGTAGAATACGCGAGTCAGCAGCGGTTTCCGTGGCAAAATATTAATCCTATCAGAGCTTTGAGCGGAGCGACGCTGAGAACACAAAATTCGTGAGCGCGATTCCGATGATTCATACGGTCCGCCATGTATCTCAATCCAATCGTATCTGCTCCATCTCTCTCTCTCTCTCTCTCCCTCTCTCTTTTCGTTTCTCCTTTAACCCTTCCCTCTTCGTCTCTATATCCGTGTCTTTCGTATTTATAGTTGTACGCACGCCGCGTGTGTGTTTGTGTCCGTATATTACGTCCCCGTTCGTCTCTCTCTCTCTCTCTCTCTCTGTCTCTCGTGTGGATGCCGGTGTACATTTGCCAGAAGCTCGCGTGATATTCCAGCCAGCGCGAAATCGCACCGCCGCTCCTCCTCGCCGCTCTATGGACTGCCGAAGAATCGTGATTTACGAAGCGAGCACGCCAGAATATTTCTCGCATTGTCCACGTTCGAACGATAAATCAAGCCGCGCCGCGATGGCTCTGGGCGGCGCGGGGGCGAGCGGGTGCCGCGCTTTTGTAACAAAGTGCGCGTCGTTAGCGATTTATGCGCTATTTCGCCGTCCACCGGCTGCCAAGAGCAGCGGGAGACGAAACTATCGTTCCTTCCGCGACGAGTCTCTCTTCGTGGTACACGCTATCTCGCGCTATTGAAATTAGTTCACTTGTGGTGTTTGGAAAAACGAGCTAGTAGGATTTCACGACTGACAACGGACGAATTGTTCTGGTGATTATTGGGAGCGATGATTTAAGATTTAGAACCTGTTAGCTGCAAGAGACCAACTTCTGTACGTTAATAGTGACAAATTTAAATTTAGAATTTTTTTTCTAGCAAAGGTTTCGTTTACTAATAATCCATAGACGATAATGTATAGTGAAATTCAATAACGTTGATTGAGTGTACATTTTAATCTATTAATCAGAGAATCTCTAATTTCTCGGATATAATAATTTCATTTACAGATATATTTTATTTAGAGACATTACTCGTTGTATAGATCATTAGCAGGCTTAGCCTTTGCTAGAAAAGAAATTCCTAAACTCTAGGTAAGAAATTACACGAATCTGCAACAAATGTTGAATTTTATTAAAGCCGATACAATTTATCACGTGTACAATTAACAAATCAGCTACGTTTAAATATGCGCGATTCGTTTATTAAATTCGTTTATTAAAGTACGTTGTGAAGTTCCAAATTATATGTGCAAATGAAAACATACGTTCGTTGTGAAAACAAGATGAACAAGAAAACAAATCGTTCGACGAAAGTTTCGCGAACTCACGGTTGGCAGTTAGTTTTTCTGAAAATTCAGCCAGTCGAGCGATGGCGCAGGCCGCAAGATCGATCGATAAATAATTTGCTGGAATCGGTCATTCGACGCTGTTCACTTGCTGACGACGCATCGCCCGTCGTCGACGCATCGATGCAATTAGAGGATGGTTTCTGGTTGAGTTAGTTGTCGACGGCAAAACGGTTCGATATTTGGTCAGAGTCTCAAGAGGGACGACATTGAAGAGACATGACAACGCTTCGTTGGTACGCGAATTCGATTCACGATGATTTTCAAATCCGATTTGTGATCCTCGGCCTCGAAATGTTTCGAAAATTCATCGAAAGGAAAAGACGTCGATCTCTAGGGACTCAAACGCTTTTCTTGAACGTGTGGAGTTATGCTACAATATATGTTGACGAATAATTTCCATACAACGTAAAATTTTCACGTGTGTTTCAATATGAAAATTCTAGTTTTCTAGTTTTGTCAATTTTTATTTATTTAACGCGTGATGGCTTATAGTCTGATCGAACACTGATACATTCCACTTGTTTGTTAAAAAATAAAACTTAGAACTCTTAATTCAGCTAAACAATGTTATCCATATTATCCGTGAGAATTTATTCACATATTTCACATATTTCAATTGAATATCTCTAACGTTTATATCATTCTCAGTGCCTGACCATTTTCGAGCATATTCTACTGGTTCTTCCACTTGTCACTGAACGACGACAATCGAACGACGTTCGATTAAAATAATCGACAATTTCAGAATAAAACGCGCCTGTCGAGTCAACGATATATAATTTCTAGATACTTTTAACCATCAGCATTGCGTTCATTTATTATTAAAATTTATATTAAATACCTTTCTGCGTCGCGCCTCTGGATCGTCAAACGGTTCGTGCTCGCATAATTATCATCCTCTCGGCGGGAAAAAAATCTCATTTGATCTATAAATATACAATATCGCGTTAATTGAAACGGAACCTAAACACCATCCCCGTGTTTTCCTGTCTTTTAATTATTTAACCTCGTACGCGTACGCGCGTTTGACGGTGAAAAACAATTGCACGCCGGAATATAATTTATTCCATTGCGCGCGCTGAAAATTCCACATTACGGATTGAATTTCCGTTTCAATGAAGCTATTATTCCACTTCAAAGCAATCGCTCTTCTCGCTAAACGCGGCTCCTCCTAACCGCTCGTTTCTACGCCAGACGATTATTCGTTTTAATAACCACCAAGAGAGAAAGAAAATGGGACGAGGAAAAAAGAGATCGGTCTGGGTTGGGAATACGCGTGTTCTTTGACGAATACACGGCCGCGGCGTTGCTGCAAACACAATATAAATATTCATTGCGTATTTAGGGGAGGGCGCCGCACGCTCGTCGAACGGGGAACGTTCATAAGCAGATAAATTGATTGTAAATGAATAAGTGATTACAGGCGGTGGTGCGAGCGCGCGCACGCGCGCGCCAAGTATGACGTTCGTAGCAACGTAATAACGGGTATGATGCGAAATTTAAAACAATTTGCAACGATAATGCGCGTCGTAAATACTTAAAAATCAGTGAAATATCATCCGTTCATTAAAGATAATTCGCTCGAATGTAACAAACGTTACAGAACCGAACGGCTGGAATGGTTTCTCTGATTAATTTCCAATTCCCTTTTACACGTGTGTTAAAAATTGAAAAGCAGCCGTTCGCAGTTGGAACGTTAGTTCAGAACGTAGCGGAGAGAGATTATTATTTTGATCTAGTGAGGAAATAACGTGTCTAGGATTCATTATTTTGTATGCCACTTGAGGATATTTCTTTCAAAATAATTCATCGTACCTACTTAATTATAATTAAATGAGAATTGATTCTGTTTGAGAAATTGAGAAATTGTTACATGAAATTTATGTTTTTTACCTCCGACTCTTTTTTGCGTCTCTTCGATCAGTATGATGTTTTTCTACTTTTTGTTGGACAGGTTAGAAGACACTCTCGCGTATCTTCTGAACAATCAACTTTACGTGACTTCGAGTCACTAGCCATTCCTCGTCATTTAAATTGCCCATTCTCGCAAGCATACTCGCGAGTTAATAGCAGGCTGAAACGTTGTCATAAATAACGAGAACAGA